TAGGAAAGTGAGTAGGATTCTCAATAAAAGCCTTCGGCACATGCTTTATGCCGTCAAAGCGCAATGTTTCAGGACCGGACCGATACGCCACTGGTTCTAGCTATCATCGAACAGTCACTGGCACTGGTGGATCGGTTCATGTACCTTGGTAGCTGTGTCACCTCTGGTGCTCACATCACTGATGGGGTTACTTCTCGTATCAGCAAGGCGCATGTGGCTTTCCAGGGGATCAACCATCTATGGAGACAGCGGCATATCAGCCTGTCCGTAGAAGATAGGGTGTATAACGTTGCGATAAGATCTGTGTTACTGGATGAGAGACCTAGCCAGTTCGCAGCGAAGACATTAAACGATTGGTCGCGTTTGATCATCCGTGCTTGGGTAGTACTGCCCACATCTGGTGGGAACACCGGATGAGCAATGCTGAGATCCGCCAATTGGTTTTTGCTAAGAAGCCTTCTGGTGCCTCGTTGCAATGTTTGTTCAATCCTCATCGCTTACGTTGGTTGGTTCATTTCCTCCGTATACTCGTTGACCGAGTATCTTGGCGCGCGTCGTACTCCTTGGCTGCGCCAACTTGGGCTGAAGCTCGAGTTCGTCTGTCGATTACGCGGCATAAAGGCAAGACGGAATTGATCGAGAGACTCGGTCAGCCTGTTGCATGCCGTCTTCATGCATGGGGGTCCCGAGATGGTCCACATCAGTGGTTGGATACCTTAGCAAATGTGACGCAGTCGCGCCGTCATTGGCGTTCCTGCATTCAGTTTCTCGCATCTGGTTTTCCATCTATATTCAATCCCTTTTAGTCTTTCCTTTTCTGTCTTGATTACATTTATACTCCAATTGGAGTCAACCTTCTTTTCTTGCCGTCGTTATTTATTGTTATCCTGGTGATGTGAGTCATGACAACTGGATCCATCGCACTTTTTTGCCGGGATCATAGGTCTTTGACTATGCTGATGTGGTCTTTTCTAGCGAGCAATGGAGATAATCTTGATAATTGAAACATTCGTCAATGAACTGAGACAGAGGCAAGTTAAAAGTTGTTTCAAATGGTCTGGTCAGATTGGGATGGTTCCCTTCTTTTCATTGTCCGTCGAGTTGACAAGTATGGCATACTGCAGTAATGATTGAACAGTTATAGGTTGTTGAGTGCGAATCTGAATTGTTTGGCTTAAGGAGTACGTCGTCTTCCTACCTGGTCTTTCTCAGTATCTTGGGAGAATCATGTGTAAGCGCATATTACGTGGAAGTTTGATAGACAGGATGAGTCGAGTCGTTTCTGCGTGTCTCTCTGTAGGACGCAGCTTGAATAGCTGAACTAAATTGATTTCTCAAAGGCCACTCGGCTGTCTACCCACTTGTTTTAGCTATGGCGGATGCCAAGTAGTATACTGCCTGTGTATACCTGAGCTGCTTGTTTGGGTGGTACGATTATCCCGACACAATGTGAGAAGTTTGTCTCTATTATCTTGGCGACTTATTTCGGCGTTCCAAACACAAGGGGACTTTCTCCTTTAACGGGTGGCTAAATCGCTTCCAAGTAGGACAGCAGCTTTCGCTCAGTAAATTGTGCTCAAAATCTAGTGAAGTTGGTCTTAGCGGTCGTCCTCAAATAAGGTACAGCTATATCTAGGTGCCGCTGTAGTGGAACTAACGGGTGTGCTGTATCTTCTCGACATCAGTGGACTCTACAGAAGTGCTACAACCGAACAACTACCGGTCGAATGTGGTCCAAAACCAATCCACCAGCACGGCATTGACGTTGGCCAGCGCTAACCGGAGCGTGGTGCTGCCGTCCTGGAGCATGGTTTCGGAAAACCAGCGAGTATCGTTACTATGGGATCCTGACGTACGCGTCAGACCAACCTGTTGCCCCACCCGCTGGAAACTAGATGCTTTGCTGGCTGCCAGTTGGAAAGAAACTGGACCTAAATCTTGTCACTGGTCGTATAAACATCGGAAGTGGGTCCTGTGCTATATGACTTATTTACAGACTTACGTTTCCATACATCGGACCTGCGTACGTGACGGCTGACTCAGGCTACGTATGGTGTGATGTAGTTGGGTACGTGGTTTTTCAGTATTGTGTTACCGGTTACACCGCTCATGGTCAGGATAGAGGTGGGGAACAGTGTTTTTGGTTTACTGAACCATCCGCTAGTCAACTGGGTGAGGTCAGCAAGTCGCGCTTGTTGTAAGCCACTGGTATAGTGTTCGTTTTGTCGTTCCTTGGTTTTACCGGTTGCCAAATCCGGACCCAATGTTTCCCATACATGTGTGTATGCACTAGTTCGAACTCAATACTTTAGTGAGTAGAAGCGAGGGGTCGTTGGCTTCAATTGATGGTAGATCGTATTCGCTGCTTCGGGGCAAGCATTGCTGCTTTTGTAAGGGAAAATAATTACCAAGGAAAGCCACCGCTTCCTTTCACACTGTATCCATATCATTCACTAGACTGTTTATCCCAAATCGCCCAGATCGTCGTCATCATTATACACTTTAACTAGAGGTGGAAGACACCTCAGCTATTTTGACACAATACATAAGAAATGAAGGAGAAAAACATGCAATAGAGGCGCACCAGCTGAACCACAAGTAACGGATGGGCATCGTTTCGGATAGCTGTCAGCTGGCTATTGTGCCGTAAAAATAGTCATATTATGCTTAGGAAATGATATTTTGGTTGGTGGGGTAGACGGGGGATAGAAATACTCAAAGCACTGACACAATTGAGTTCGGCTCCTAGCTCTATCAATAAGTTTATTCAGCCAAATGTATTCATCGTATTTCTGACCCCAACCTGGAAGTCGAGAGGCTCCAAAGCAGGCCAACTTCGAACTAAGGGCCTTCATACATTTCGACCAAGTCATAACTTGGCCACCTCTCCTTTCATCCGCACCCACGGCGCGCAAACGACATACGTCCTGGAAGTAGGTGTGTTGCCATACGCAACACGTGGTCCAGCCATCGGCGCATGGTATGTGAAATAACGGTGCTCAACGGTTCATTTCCTCTTTCTGTGCCGTAACCTATTCGTCGAGCATGCTCACCACTCACACGTTGTTCCCACCAGACGAGCCAAACTTCGAAGGCACGAGTGGTCGAACGTAACTAGCCTCTTCACATCCACCGATGTAATAGGCCACGCTCCACAACCGTACGGTAGGGTCGGAGGTACGGAATTGCAAAAATCTGACCAGATTAATTATGCTTGTGCCCCATTTATTTGTTTTTTTACTCAGCGAGCGTTCGAATCGCCATAACCGAACGGACTGAACGATTGTTGTGTTAATTGTGAGTTCATTACAGGGGCTTTTAAATCTAATAGTCCTCCACATGCTCAGGAAAGCATCAAATGGAGCGTCCTGTTTTACAAACTAACTACGATATAACATGTCTGTTCATCAGTTTGTGGCTGTCCCCCTTGGCTTAGTGGCGTGAGTTTCTGGATTACGGTTCAAGCTGCTGTAGGTCATGGGTTCAGATCTTGATGGATCCGATAGATCCGCACTGCCGACGAGAGCCACCACCGTCTAGTGTTTTTCTTGGCATGTGGAGAACTGTCTGATTTCGAAGCTGCTGCTATGGACTTTCACTTAGACACATCAGAAATTCCATATTGCGTTATTTTACAAGCTAGCAATTTCTTGGTCTAGTGACCTTAAACTGTTTAGCGGTAGCCCGAACGTTGACATCATGCTACTGCCCGAACTTCTGTTGCACACTATGAATTACGTGGCACCGTGGTTTGCATACCTTTGCGAACCTTAGGGCTCTACTGGGCAATAGCTTCCTCTATACCAATACCAGTCATTCAAAATAGGTCATCATTCATCGACCGGAGAGCCTCATCATCTTCCTCACGAGAGATTGGAACGAGCTATTATTATCTTCCTAGAAATCTCAGTACCGTGTCATGGGTTGTTGGTGAGCTAAACTCGGTGTTCGTAAAAGCCGTACCACCGATTGTTTACTACAGCGAAATCACGCCGGTGTTGCTCATTCGTTCATCGCTATCAGCCTGAGATCGGAAGCTCTCGCAGTGCGTGGAGCTCTATTTATGGATCTGTAACAGACTTGTCACCCGATCTTAGTTCACTTGAATCTTAAAGACCGAGTATACAGGACCATAGTAAAGGGTTCATTGTTCACAGTAGTGCTATTTGGCATCTTGCATCCGAAGATCCTAGACCTGTTCAGATGTTTGACCATCGTTGTTTGCGGGGAATTACTCGCGTCGATTGACACTAGGTGTCCGTAATGAAGAGATGCACCTACTAGTAGTAAATGACGATAATTTGTATGGCTTGTTATATAAAAGAATATCGATGCATACGTGGTTCATATATGTTCTCTTGCACCCATTTTACGCTTTCTTAGATGACAGTTCTCTTTTTTACTTGCTATTGATGGTAGTGCTATGATACCACCCGTTACAGTCACAGCCCACCCAGAATGTATGGAAATCCTTTTGAAATTCCATGTGAGGGTTGTAAACAAATCTGCATTTGTCCTGCAGTCGCATCCGCCAGCTGGACTTGCAATCCCCCATTTGTATGTCGCGCTGTTGACCTAATCTAGCGACGAAAATTCCTAAACAAAATCCGTCCCTCACAGTGGATATTTTGAGCGTATCGCCTATTCCATTTAACCTGCTCTTTTAACATCCATTCCTGTGACAAACAGAATTCAATCATGACTACCAGCCACAGAACAAATCCTCTCAATCTCAGTATAGCAGGTTCTTTTGGATGCTTTGACAAGTGCTTCCTTAATGTTGTTGTTTACTCCTTATCTCCGAAACGCACAAAAACAAACAATAGTGTCTTAAGACATCTGTCACTGGACTTGGAGCTCTGTTTTGTAGCATGTGTACGTACTTTAACGCATTGCTCTTATTGTGGCTGTGCCCATTGTGTTTGTGGTAGACACTAGGTGAATGGGATAGTAACGCTTCGCCTTTCACTGATATTTTGTTTCAATGCCATCTGTTTCAGTGAATCTAGTCACCTACAGTCTTTCGAGCCAGTACTGTGGAATCAATACTTCAACATCAAGGATGATATTGAGCTGGAAGTTGGGGTAGGCCCTTCATCATTTCTTTAACTCTATTTGGTCACAGACGTTTCGCATCTATCGGCGTGGAGTGGAAGGACCGCTCCTTTTCTTCATTCACGGAGGCGGGTTCTCTGCGCTGACTTGGGCGGTGCTAAGTGTAAGTTCCCGACTCTTCTCTTATATGATCCTAACATCGCTCCTCATAGGCCACGATCACTGAGCAGGTGAAGTGTCAGTGTTTGGCAGTAGATATGCGCGGACATGGTGATACGAATTGCCTCAACGATGACGATTTATCCTTGGATACTTTGGCTAAGTAAATTCATGTTTCTGTACTTTTGACTCCCTTCAGAGATGTCATCAAAATAATCTTTGCAATGTATCCGACTGAGGCTCCTCCAATCATTCTAGTTGGTCACAGGTGCGTTGCAAAGTATGGGATCTCCTGATCACTAGCCTATGTGATTTCGTATTGTATCATATCTCAGGATCGCGTGTCAGTCTTGCATTGTCTGTTTGGTATTACGAAGGGCCTGAAACCGTCACCGTAAATGCCACTTTTCAGAAAGTTCTTATTTCGCTAACCATGCAATAACTCATCTAACCGTTTCCATTATGATAATTTATTGGCCCTTATCCCCTTTAGTGAATGGTTTCTTTTCGTTTAACTACTCGTCAACTTTGCGGTGGACTGGCGACCCATTTTCCATAAACTGGGACGATTCACTCTATACAGCGGAGTGTTGGTTTTCTGCTCTGTTCAAAAGGTTTTCCTTCTCACTTGGATGCTGAGTTAGTTAGGTTAATAGACCACATGACCTGTCAATTTAACGTCCATGTTATTCGCCTGTCATTGGTGTCCAAGTACGTTAGTACGGTCCAACCTGTTCACCCGAACTTTATCAATGCTCTCCAGATTGTCCAAACCCAGTTTACACCACTTTCTAAATCTCTTCCGACTTTCTTAACCTCAGCCGTCATCCCTACACTTTCTCCCTAAACCGTTCACATGTTTAATCGCACACTATTTGCCACCAGCAGCAGATCGGTGTCTATCCTAAGCTGCCTTTATTTTACATGATGAATCCGCTATTTGAGCGTTCACCTTTCATCTCTCATGCTTTCACTGAGTACTTCTGACCACTATATCACCTACCGCTTTCATTCCCCATTTCTTCAACATTTTCATTCGCTGTTAGTCTTTTTTTCACGCTTTTGGTTTCGACTTGTTGTCTGATTTAGCAAGTGGCTAACTGCAATCACCCCCTTTGTCCGGTTTGCTTGCTCATCTCATATTGATTTGTCCTATTGGTTTATTTCTTTTAAACAACGTCACTCCCATGTTTTGGAACGTGCAGCTTGGTCCACTTTGTATTGTTGGACTTCATTCATAGTGAACAGGTGACGCTCCTCTACCGTTCCTATTATTACGAGACCTTCCTTTTAAGGAAGTGGCGTTTTCTTGGTAAATTAATCAGTTCAACCTAGACTAGCGTCTGTGTTGCAGCCGTTTTTACTAGCTCGGGAATCGGAGACGGTAGTTCACGTCCTTACAAGACCTTAATCACTACCCATAAACAGCAGTGCGGTTTGCCAAATCCAATTTATTCTTGCCGCCATGGTACCAAAATTGAACAACGCCCTCATTTGAAGGCTAGATAAATTATGCCGCTGAAAATGATAAACGCTTGTTACGGCTTGTTCTAATCTTCTCACTAGACGCAATTCCAAAAATAACAATTTACTGCTCCACAAAACTTCTAGCCCAACCGAAGAAAAAAGCAGAACGCCAATGACCATGACAAGATAAGGTATTAATCGTCGCCAACCAACACTGTGCAACTACTGTGGACCTTGACTGTATTTATAGGTCTCTTACTGACCTTTGACTTCTAGAATTGGAAGATTAGCCACCAAGGTTAGTGGTTCCCCATATCTTCTGCCGAGGTGTCAGGTGGCTTTTAGTCGTCTGCAGAACTAGAACATTCCGGAACGTTCAAAATCGCTGCGATAATCGTTAATAATCGATTAATCGCTAAACTAGTGGATTTCCTAGGCAATTCTTACTTTCTCCCGGACACCTCCCATCCTGAGGTATACGGCGAAAGTCTAGGATTAACTTGCAGTCTTCGGGACGGTGTTCTCTGCCTGTCGGTCCATCACCTTGGCAGAAGTGCCCGAGAACTGTGTTCCGATGTCCGGGTTCTGGATTCTTTGCTCGACTGTGTGCAGTCGTCCACTGCTACCTTCTGCAAGTTGAAGCTTTCCACCAGTAAATCGAACGGGGGGTTAGTGCTCGTTGCTTGTTTTGGTTGGCACAATGTGGGCCGTAACTGGTTTACATGCCGTGCCCAGATCTGTGCGCTCACCAGCACGTTTCCGCGCTTGCTTTTGACCGTCCCTTGCGTCCATTTCACATGGCCTTCCCGATAGTCACGTACTAGCACCTTCTGTCCAAGCGTAAACGATCGCTTCTTTGCTCCATGCCGCCGATTAAAATCCTGTTCCATTGTGCGGTTTCTTTCACCAACAGAGGATTCCTAGCGCGGTCGGATGGCGTCGAAAGGCATGCGGAGCTTCCGGTTCATCATGGCTTGTGCTGGAGAAACTCCGTCTGGCGCTTGTGGATTCGGTGTTGATCGGTAGAGGAAAAGGAACCGGTCAACCACCTCCTCTATACGTCTCTCCCCTTTTGATTTGTGGAGAGCTCTCTTGAATGTATCGACAAACCATTCTGCCTGACCATTCGACTGTGCATGAAACGGTGGCGAGTGAATGTGCTGGACAGCGCATTGCTTGCAGAACTCCGTAAACGTTGCCGAAGTGCCATTGTCAGTTACAATTGTCTCAGGACAGCCGAATCTGCTAAAGATTTGGCGCAGTTTTGATACAGTGGCATTGGTGGTTGTGCTATCCATGAGGCCACTTGCTGTATGAGTCGACTATAATGAGGAAACTTCTGCCGTTGCTCGGTCCTGCAAAGTCGACATGGATGCGGCACCATGGCTTAGTAGCTTTTGGCCATGAATAGAGTTCTGATTTTTGTGGCGCTTTTAAGACATTGGCGCACTTTTGGCAGCGTTTAGCTATATCTTCTAGCTGTTTGTCCGTGAAGGGCCAGTATACATAACTGCTTTCCAGCGCCTTCGTCCGGTTGATCCTAGGATGCCCGGCGTGGAACTGCCGAATAAGACGCTCCTGAAGTGCCTTGGGGATGACCACTCTTTTCGAAAATAGTATGCAGTCGTTTACAATAGAGAGCGAGTGTCTCCTCTAAAAGTATTGTTGCAACTCGGCAGATGGACATGAACGTGGCCAACTTGTTTTGTGAACTTGTGTAACTTCCTTGAGTACTGGGTCCCGAAGCGTTTTGGTTCGTGCGGCTTCTGCGGTAACTGGTAGACCGTGCAACGCATCAGTTACCAGAAAGTTGACGTCAGGTTCGATCTCGACCGTGGCAATGATTGTGTCCTCATGTTCTTGCTGGTGGGCATCAATTAGGCGTGGCAGTGCATCCACTTGGCCAATGGAAATTATCGACCGGTAGTGGATCTCGAAATCATACCCCATTAAGGTAAGAGCTCAACGTTGTAGCCGGTTGGCTATGTAGGCCGGGATGCCCTTTTTCGAACCAAAGATAGCCAGCAAGGGCTTGTGATCTGTCACAAGCTTGAAGCGGCGGCCGTATAGCATGTTGTGGAATTTCTTGATCGCGTACACTATAACCAATGCTTCTTAATCTTGCTGTAATTCCTCTCGGCCTTCGTAAGTGTTCTGGTGGCATGGGTGATTGTTTTCTGAGATCCATCAGTGTACGTCTGTGAAATTACTGCGCCAATCCCATGGCTTGATGCATCTGTGGTTAGGACAATCTCTTTGGAGGGATCACAATGAATCAAAAGCAAGTTTGGGGACAGCAGTGTCTTGACCCGTACGAAGGCATTCTGGCATTCTGATGTCCAGTTCCAAGTTTGGCCTTTGGCTAGTAGCTTGTTTAACGGGCACGTAGGTGATGCATCTCGGGCAAGAATGAGCTGTAGTGGTTGATGAGCCCACAAAAGAAACGCAAGGACTGTAGACCTGTTGGTGGAGGCATTTTTCTAATGGCTTCTGTGTTTTCCGGATCTGGTCGACGTCCATCTTTTCGAGGATAAAACCGAGGTATTTGATGATCGTCTTAAAAAATATGCAGTTATCTTCACGGACCCGGAAACCGTACGACTGTACACAACCAAGCACTTAGTCCAGGCGGTTAAATAGTTCTTCTGGTGTTCGACCCATCACTATGATATCATCCAGATATGCAGCGGTTCCAGAAACGCCCGCTAGCATGGTATTCATCAAGTGTTGGAAAATGACTGGCGCCGTTTTTACACCAAATGGCAAGCGGTTGTATTAGAATAGTCCACGATGAGTGTTGATCGTCAACAACTCCCTCGAGACTTCGTCAACATCCACTTGAAGGTAGGCATTCGATAGATCAAGCTTATCAAAGTACTTAACACCATTCAGTTTTGCAAAGATATCTTCCGGCACAGTTAATGGGTACTGGTGGTCGTCCAGCGCGGCGTTAAGGCCAGTTGAGAAGTCAGCGCCGACGCGAACCTTGCCACTTGCTTTCTTCACTGTGACAATAGGTGCGGCCCATGATGAGTAGTTGAGGACTGTGATGACTCGGGCACGTTCCAGTCGATCGACTTCTTGAGCAACGGTTGACATGACTGCATATGGTACCGGTGTTTTAGCTTTGAACAATGGTTTAGCACCTGGTCGCAAGCTCAGCGATGTCTTGAGTTTCGTACAGTGACGCGAGCCATCCTGAAATACAGAGGCAAATTTTCGTTTCAGGGTACGTGTCATGTCTTCAACGGATTTTGATGATGAGTCTGGACTTGCTCGAACTCGGTTCAGATCTAATTCAAGGGAACATCGAGAAGTTGCAACTTTTCAATGCAGTCGAGACCAAGAAGATTCAAATTCGGCCGGTCTGAAATGTAGCACGTTCCCGACTTTTCCGCACCTTTGAAAGCAATCTTGCAAATAAGTTCGCCCACAAAGTTTAACACACCGCCGGATGCATTATATGCAACTTTCTGAGCCTCGACCCTCTTCCGCCTCTTTATGTGATTCCATGTGCTCCTGGAAATAATCGGGATGTCCGAGGCCTTGTCACATTGCATTTTCGTTGGGATCCCATTGATCAGCACACTGATAAATCGTCGTCTCGGTTTACACTTGCTTTGGAATGCGGCAACTACGGACAGAGACTCAGCGCCATCCTTTCTAGAATTCCCCTTTCGATAAGACTTCACTTTCTTCGACCGGACCTGACTGCAGCATTCCTCTTTATGTCCACGCTTATGGCACGTTTGACAAATATGATGTTTGGACGGATAAAAGTGCGCGAACTGCCATTCGCCG